TAAGTTCAATCAGTCATTTACAATCTCACAAAGTTTAGAAGAAAACATTTTTTTAACCTTGACTTTCCGTAACCTAAAACATAAATAAATTTATATTTAAAATGTATATGTATGAAATACGTTAGAATGTTTTATTTAATTTCAAACTGTTTTAGAAAATAGAAAATATTCTTTATGTAAGTTCGTAGGCTTTCACGGCCGGTGTTATTAGAAATAAAACTAGAAACTTCCGGGTTATGCCGTTGTTTTGCCGTGAAAAGTACTTTTGAACTTGTTTCTGAAGAACGCATATCCCGGAAATTTCCAGTTTTATTATCTAACATTCTTAATCTTTAATCCTATTTTCAATAAGCGAAAATTCAAACAGGCGATTTTAAAAAAATTATTTAAATTAAAGTGTTCACTCCTAATTATTTAGGAGAAAATATTTTGCTGTTTTCAAAAAACGTTAAATTTAATCACGGATTTTAAGAAATCTATATAAATTGAATTGTTCACCGTGGAAAATTAAGACATGATCTAGTTTTAGTTTCAAACTTTCCTTTGTAACCTCAAAAAGTTTCATTTATGAACTCTGATCTTTATTGGAAAAAACAATTTGTGTTATCAGCCATTCTCAACACACAGCAATTTTAAATCGATAGTTTTTTAAACTTTTATCAATAATAATCTGTACATATATAGTATTCGCGCAGTTATTAGACATTGCTAAATGTTAAAAGAAACACTTTATGAATGACTAAAATTAAACGATAACTACTTACATCACTTAAAGTCGGAATATTTTTTCTTCTTTTTAGTTTAAATAAAAATGAACTCCGATTTATAGGATACAGAGTAACGTTAATCAATTATCCTGAAAAAGTAAAGGAAATAATAAAGTTATGGTTGCAAAATATTTAATTAAAAAATACATAAATCAACGTATTTTGGTTTCAATTATTTTTAAGTTAGATTAGAGCGGATTCCATTGCATACTTCGCATCTAGGAGAAAGTAAACATCAATTAATGGATTTGTACTTTTGCATTCTCATTAATATAACTCACCATTTAAATGCCTTGAATGTGGTATTTCAAGGAAAAGTGCCAATTAATTCATAACATATTTGATAAAATTGAAACTATTAAAAACAATGTAAAAATTTAAAAAAAAATTTAAAAATTTTCCTGTTATGAAATAACAAGTCACGTTTTTCGCATTTAAGAAAAGGACGTCAAACAGTAAACCAATAATATACTCAATAATAAAACCATATACAGGATGTTCAGAAATTGGCGGATAATCTACACGTAACGACATTCTACGAAAGATTCTGAATCGAAAATCTTAATGTTAAAATTTAAAATGTTGTTCTACTATGTTGCCAAATGTGTTTTTCATGAAGATATGATAATGAAAAAATGTTAAAAACAAACTTTAAAGCTAAAGAAAATAACTTCAACAAAAAAAGTAGTTTTCAAAATTCTTTTCATTCTAAATTACAGCTTATTTATCAACAGATATTGAATATTAATAATTATTTATGGACAAATTATCCGGCCTTTGAGAACCTCATGAAGACGTATGGGACAACATTTTACAATTAAGAACAATTAAGATTTTCGCTTTAGAATCGAATGAAGAATGTCGCTACGTGTAGATTATCTGCCAATTTCTGAACACTCTGTATAATCGACATTGTATACATTTATAGGAATATTAATCTACATATCAATTATCCATTTACCTACCAGTGCGCGGTATTACTGGTCGATTAAATTAGAGATAATTCAAATCAAAGAAACCATGAGTCAGCATAGCTTTAACAGTATTCGATCTAACATTCATTTTACAGAAAACATAAAAACAAAATCACAATATGCTGATCATCTTTATAAACTTAGGTCAATTATTGACCACTTGGATGCTAAAGTTAAAGAAGTATCTTCCCATGAAACTATGCAAAATATTTCAAATTTAGGATTTCGGTGTGTGCAGAAAATAAATGTTGTATAGTATGTTACCATGATTTCTTTAATGGCTTATTCAGCACTAAAAGAATTTATTTATTGGGTACCATCTGAAAAAATCAAATTCCTAATTCCAAATGACCACCGGAAAATGTGCTCAAAAAGAGACAAAGGGCTACTATGACAACGCTGCCAAACAAATAATAGGCCTGTTTTGGTACAAGAGATCTGTAGTTCTGAACCTTTCCGCGCATACGTCTAATATGCAATATGTATGCGCAGAAAGGTTCAGAACATGCCTAATGTAAATATATCAACAGTGATCAGAAGAGGCAATAATAATAATAAGCTTTGGCAATAATATTGGCTTATGTAACTCTAGTTTCGAAAAGATTATTCCTTGCCAAAATTTGGATAAGAATATAACTTCACATGCGTGGTTAGGTCCAAAGAAATGGTACATCCATTTCTGTATCGAAGTCATCAAAAGAACCGTGAAAATCCAGCAACTAGTATTCAATAAGATCTTGCAGTAAAGAAGAAAAGAGGACCTAGATAAATATGTATCACCAACGGATGTACAAAGTGGTATTGCACATTACTATCATACATTAAATATTCGAAGTGTGATGTACAATTATTAAAACATCTTACTGTTTCAATGATTTTCATCAATAAAAATGTTAATAATGTATTTGTATTATTGTTTTGTTAATGTATTATTATTTAAAAATGCACTGTGTATCATATCTATACATTGACAAAATAATCACCACATTAACAAAATAATCAATGGAATAAAATTAGTCTTTTGAATGAGTTGTCATCATTTAATAAATCAATTTATTAATATGCGTTAATACGTCAATATCGCGTTATATAAAAGAGATAAAGTTTTATTTATTCATTTTTATAAAAATATTTAAAGTTTATTCTCTTTTATTGTCAGGGATTTTATACAAAAGGAACAATAGAGTGGAAAGAACAAAAGGAAAAAAAAGGAGTTGGGGCTATATTATTGGAAACCATTGTTGCTTTATGTTGCAGATAGCATTATTGTGTTCTGTACATAATTCTATATATACGAGATGACACAAGCGTAAATTGTGGACGGATGGCGTAACGGATGAGATAATTACAGTTCAGTTTTTTTTTAATACACTCACCAGTTACTTTTCTTTCTTTATTTTTTTTCTATATAAGAAAAAAGAAAAACCAGCTGGTGTGTGTTATACTTACGAAAGAACACGGTTCGTAGATATCCAAGGTTTTAAAAGTTGTTTAATGCACAATAATGAGAAAAAATCACTTCCTTTCGATAAGGTGAATTCACTCTTTTGTTACTTTGTAGAACACACAATCACGAGAAAGTTAATGATAATTCACTTCACTGTATTATAAAATTCACTGTAAAAATATATTTTTTTTTTTAATTTTTTGTGGAAATAAAGGAAAATTTAAGAAAACGACCATTGATTCTATAAAAACAGTAACACTTTTTATTTTTGTAAGCGTATTTTCACTATGACTAGCTGTACATTATATATATTTATATATATTTCATATATATAGAGCGACATTTTTATACACATATTCACAATTTTTTTTGCTTTTTTGCCAGCCGAGGATCCGACGGCAGCTTTAAATTTATTTTTTACTTTAATTTAAATGTTTTTTTGTTTTCCTGAAGTTATATTTACACGAACTTCGATAGGTTTCTTTGGTCTAGCTATTTTAGCTAAAAGTATATGTCAGATCTTTTGCTAGTTTTATTTTTTTTTAGTTTTATCATCGGGTGCTAGCTCTAGGTTGCTCCAAATTTTCATAACAAAGTAGCGTATTTATAAAGTCTGCTACAAAAATAAAATTTTTTTTAAAAAGAGCTCCAATAAGTTTCAGTCGTTCATAGTAAGCGCAAAGTTTTTTTATATATTTTTTTAGGAAAATTTAGAACAACCATTTTCGTTTTTAATATGTTTGGTTCGAAGTACACATGAAGATTATTAATTATTTGGTATACTGTGTTTATAATGTGATAATGAAGAAAATAATTATTTATTTCAATATTTTTTGATCATTTTTATAATTATTTTCTTCACTATCTACAAAAATTAAACAATTAACGTGAGTGTGAAATACCTCTTAACTCTTTACCAACACTGATATTTCGGACCTTTTTTATATTTTTATTTTTTTGGAAAAATACACATCGCTACCTCCACTATATGTTTTTTGCTTCATTTTACATCGTTTTTTTTCTTCTATACATTCGCCTCTACTTAAAAATTATAATTCGAAGGAAAATATTAATTAAAAATCGTATAATTTGGAGTTTAATAATATTTTTGAAATTATCCCAGTAATGTTATTAATGTTTTTAAATCCACGATTTCAAAAAATTAAAATAAATACACATGAGTTTATACGCCGATTATACATATGGCATCGAATAATAATAATAATAATAAATATCTTGAATCGATATTTTTTTCTTTTTATTTGCTCGTCACGTCGGTCGTCTGTTTTATTGTCCATAATCAAGTTTTTATTATTATTTTTTTTTAGATTTTTAGGAATTTACACTGATCTGCACTATACATACATTATCGTTATTATTATTACGTTATAAGATTCTTAGTCGATATTGAAAGACTCATCGGTGTATTTAATTTTTTTATGATTTTTTCAACTTTTTTTTTGAAACGGGAACCGAATGGAATGTTTTTTTTTTGCAAAAAAATTGAAAATATGCAAAATATGTTTTCGAGGAATGTTATTTTTGTTTTGAATTTTCGAAAATATTAAGTTATCGACTAGAAATGCATAATTTCAATTTTTTTATCCATTTAGATCATTCAATTTTAATTTTTAATATTTACATTTCTGCCATAAAGGGAAGTTTTCACTTTCCCTTGGATAAGTAATAAATTTAAAACACAAAATATTAATAAAAATTAAAATTGAATGACCTAATTCCTTTAAATTTATCTTTAATTTTGATCTGTAAACAGGATTTTTTTTGACATTACTTGAAGCAAAGGATTTTAAAGCGATTTGATAATTTTTTTTTATTTTTTGATTTGAGTTTTGGCACGTCACAATTAAAAAAATTTTGTGAACTAAGGATATGTTTAGCCGGGTGCACTAAGGTCTTTAAATATCCATTTTTTTAGTCGATTTTAGTTTTCAAAATGTATCGAACCGATATTAATGAAATTAAATAGAGCAAACATAGAGTAATCATCACAATAGGGGGAGAAGTCGTCTTCTATAATAATAATAATGAATTAAGAAGAAAAGGTCGTCTTCTATTCCGTCAGATCAGAGTACCACGCCCGGATAGGTTGGAGCATGCGCCCCTCCCAGAATGAGGAGAGACACTTCTATCGCACTATTATCACAAGGGGTTTATCACATCACAGCGATCACACGTTGTAGCACACTTGGTGAATTTGTGGAAATGTGGACGCTATCGGAATCGCAGAACTAACATAAGGATGGAGCCTATGAGCTCGCAGATACTGTCTGTATTTCCCGGTGAGGATGTGTTTATCATCGGGTCGATCTGGTGAACGATCTGGATCGGTCCAGTGTCCAGAATCTGATCCTGAACTATAAGTTGTCGTTCCTGATACTAAATTGTCTCTTTTGCTGCAGTATGATGTGGTTGTATTTATTGGCACTAAAGGTGGCAGGGAGTCCCAAAGTTGTTGTTGTTGCCTTTCGGCATACTGTACTGGGTATTGGGCCGCTTGTTGAGGAACTTGCTGTGGTAATTGTTGACCTCTCATCATTCGTCTTTTAGATGAGATGGTCGCGGCGGATGTCGAAGATGTTTGTTGTCTATTAGGGAGATTATTCACAAACGGACTTCGACGTTGGCTTTCAATTTTTCTGAAGTAACAAGGATGGATCATCAGCAACGGTTCATTCCTGACACCAACCGGCGGTTTAGCCTGATTCGGAAGTTCATATTCAACACTGCAATCCACGTGTAATGGTCTTGAGTAGTCCTTTTGTTGCACTACAGATCTTTGCACAACCGCACTGACCGTTTGCTGCTGCTGCTGTTGCTGTTGAACAGCTGACGGATCGTAAGATGGGTAACACGAAGCCATCTTATTAACAAGAGTCTATATTGTTATTGAAAAGTTCTCTCTCGACCGAGTCTCTGGCTCGACTGAACACTCGTTCGGAGTCTCTGTTGGTTCTGAGTTTGGCGGCCGTCGACGGCGCCGACGTCGGAGTTTCTGGTCCGGTTGGTGGGGGCAGGAAATCGATGAGGCCAGGCATTTTGTTCGTCTAGGAGAGTGTCTGTGCCACGGGAGTACGTCATCTGATTCGCTGTCTGCGTATTGGTACGTCCGTGTGAATGTGTTATTCGTACACAGGGGCGCCGTATGTGTGTGTGTGAATGTACACGCTGCGAGTACGTAACAGCAGAACTGGGCACCGCTCTAATTACTCTGACTAAGCGGTGCCTCATTGTTATTTGAACTACTTTGATCGGCGCCGCTACGTTTTATACCTTTCAATTTTACATTTTTTTTTTTGTACAGTTGCAAATTTTTTCTCTGCAATTGTTCCTTTTTTATTTTTAACACTATTTACTGCTTGTTTTAGATTGCTAATTATTTTTATACACATTTTTTTTGATGACATTGTAACATGAAAATAAATTCGTTTATTGTTTTATATGTATCTAGATTTAATCTATTAATAGCAAGCAGTTGTTACTAAAAATAACTTTGGTTATGTAGGAGAAGTATAAGTGTATAGAATTAGTAGAGAATCGCAATAAAATTGCTACTATAATAACTTTAGGCGGCAATCCCTTATGATACTTGAATAATGTATTAATATTAAGTATATTTTTGAAGGCATCCAGGGTGAGACGCATTAACCAGGCTTTCAACAATACAGAGTCAATGCTGGGTGATAGACATATAAAGCACGTTAGATAGAATTACCATTAATATGAAGTGTATAATTACGCGGGCAAAGCTATAGACTTTATGAAAAAGTCTGGAATGACACACAAGACTTTAGCCCATAGCGATAATTCTATCCGATTTTAAACTGGAAGCAAATGTCTTAAATACCTTGACAGGCTAGGTCAGCCTCCAGTAGTCGAAAAGAATTACAATAATCAGATAATCCAAACTGTAAGAACAAGTTTGGAATTACATTAACAAAATCCTTGATTGCAAGAAAACGAGAAAAAGTCAAAAACTACGCTAACCGAATACCAAACTTGAAGAAAAATCCGAAAATACCGTACTTAGGTCATACTCAATTTTAGAATTAGGTACGAAAACTGTCAAAATTAGAAATAATACTGCCTACCATCTAATCTGAAAGTTCATAAGCGGTTCATACTCCTATCTCATAAGCAATACAATCAATAAAAGAAATGTTATAAGAAGCTTTAGCTTTCGCTGTGATCGATTGTAAAAGTTCCTTAAACTTAGAAAGGTCATTACGTCTAGGTATTATAGATCCCAACCAATTTTGTAACTTATTTGAACAGATAACTTTACTGCAATTTTTTTTATCGATCGGTTGAAAAGATATCGATCTCTAAAGTGAGGGGCCTTGACTTTTGGCACGTATAGTAGTCAGAAATCAAAAGATAGCCTGGAATGAACATGGCTATAAAGTACAGAGCAAGATTTGAATTACTCTGGTGAGACTTAAATAGACAAGAAAATATCAGGAATTACAGTGTTTCGAATTCCGAATTGAACAGCAAATCTAGAATTGACAGGATTCTAGACAAATACTGACAATGTGAAAATGTGGTTGTCAGGATAGAAAGCTGCTTCAATTTATTTTCTATATTTCCCGATAATTATCATACCTTATGCTTTTTCCTTTCTTGTCTATGTGCATAATGGTATTTATCCCCCAATCTGTTGGTATCTGTTCTATTCTCTAGATTTATTGGTCTTAATTCATTTTACCTATTTTGCTTATATCTGGTTGAATGTTGTAATTTCCAGTAGCTTATTCTTCTTCTGCTCTTCTTTGATTTTTTATGTTTTGTTTTGTTTTGCTTGGTCCACCTGCAATGTTGTTACTATATTTAACTTTGCATATAGCACTCCTCTGTTTCCTCAAAAACTCTTCCAAACACCTTTCTTTTGCTTGTTTTACTGTCTCATTGGCTTTGTTAGGTTGTTGTTTATACTTGACTCTACTTGACATATAAGTATAATGGATTTTTTTAATATAGAAATCAACCAACCTCTTTGTAATTATAAATTTGTATCTCTTCCGTGGTCACCCATTGTACCATAATCTATTTTATTACTATTATCGACATGGGAATTTCGATTCTACAACTGGTATAGAGTTATCTAGATGCTATGATCACCTGTTATATCGCGACAAGAACTATCTATTCATTGAAATAATTTTTATTGCGTACTCACGTTATATCGAACAACATGAACAACATGGTGCGTATCAAGATTTCTGGTCTCTGACACCATTGAAGTATTACAAAAAAGGTCCCATTATTTACATTGTTTAATTGTGAAAGTTGTCGTTTTATGGGTCTTCGATGACAATATTGACGTCCAAACGCAAACAAAGATGGTAACTAACATAAAGAAGAATAACATAATAAGTTAGTTTAAACTTTTACACATTTGCTTTATTTATTATATTTACTTTCTTTTTCTCATATAGGTATTTATGAGCTATTGAGACTTTATTTTCTTGTGGACTGCCTAAAGGTGTCATCTTGTAGCGATAACCCAAACTAAATACGTCGTTAAAATGAAGGAAAAATTTTTGTTCTTATCAACTTTATATACATAAGAAATTTTAAAGATTTTTTTACTTTAGATAATAATATCGACTTTAAGACTCGGTTGTATAGATATCATGAACAGGAACCCACATTAACCAACCTATTTTTTTTATACTTTGAATTCTTGGATAGCATAAAATTTTTATGGCAGCAATAATAAGTGCAATCATGTGTTCACCACTTATCGTCGTATATAGCCCACATTTTCAATCTAACTAAATATTTGTTATGTATTTTTTTAACGTGGCCGCGTCACACATACTTTTAAGCGGTATATAAATACAGTTGACGACGCTTTCCCAATGTTGTAACAATTTGATGAAATGTGGACGTAAATATTTATTCTAAATATACATCCTTTAAAAAATCCGTATAATATCTCTTATCGGTAAGTATATAAAACTAAACGTAAAAACCAAATTGCATGGCACAAAAATATTTACGTTCATCGTGTTGGTATTAACACTCAAAGCTCTTTATGGGTAAAAAATGTTTTTAATAATTTCAAACAATACAATCATCATCGTATCATCAAATAACACCACGCACGAATGGTTTTATAGATATCATAACTAAAAATATCGTAACTGGAGCCACACTTCAGCTAGCTTTTAAATAATTGTTTTTGTGTTATCAAGTTATCGCTCGCGTGACTAAATGCGGCTATTTTTTTTTACGGAAATGTGACTATCTCGAAAACTGGCGTAGTAAAAGCACTCGATTCAGAGACCATTATTTTTAACACAGCGAGACTATTTCGCCCGATTGCTTCACTTTGTTCCTGGCCGGATGTTGACGACAAACGGAAAGTAACAAAAAAAAACGGAATATAGTGTAAATAAAAATAGAAATGCTGTAGAAAAAGAGGCGTGATACCGTGCGAAAGAGGATTCGTCGAGCTTATCACGGAGGATTGACGAGCGACAGTGGGTTCTCTTCTTCGGCGACGAGTAGTGTAGAGAGAGATCTCTGAAACCAATCTGGAATCTCATTAAAACGTTTCTCGGCGTGTGCTCGAGGCGAAGAGCTTCAATTAAAAAAAATTTTGATGTTAACTTTTTTTTAATCATGGTCTTTTAAGTTAAACTTTAATTAATGAATTGAATGAATTGTCGATTTATATACTTTTAACAATAAAAATATATCTCCAATAATAGATTAATAAAGATATAGTACTTACCTGTAAAGTAGAACCAAATCGTTTTGTTCACAACATAAATAGGACAAAACAATAGTTTCGTGTTTCTTGGGATTTCTTTTTTTTTGTTATATCTAATAAACAATAAGAAACAATAAGTATTTGCTCGGATACAATAAAACCTTTTGTCTTTTTATTTATCAACAAATACTCATTCAAACTTAGCGAAACGGATTTATTGTTTTCTATAATAACGTATTGAAATAACAATAACCTTTACGAAACTTTTTACGGAAAAAAGTTGTTTTTCTGAAATTTAATTTAAATTCAAATTAAGTTTTTTTTATGTAAACTGATATCGTTCAAAATCTTACCTGACAGATCGTAAACAACGCGTTTAATGGCACAGTGAGAGGTCCCAAGAGTACGACGATTACACCTTATTCTTGAATTGTGACAGTAGGGAAGACGACTTAATTTAAAAAATTGGGGAGGCATTCCGAGAAGCTGAAAACTTGAAATGAAAAGAACGGTGGAGAACGAAAGGAGAAGTGTAAAACTTCTCTATAATGGAATGAAGAAAGAATCTCCTCACAAAAACGTATTTAACGAGCTGACTAATTGAAGCTTCTGAATTCAAATCTACAGTTGAACCTGGATAAGTGGGAACTCTGGGGGACACCTAAAGCTTCCCTTAATTATTTAGACATAGATATAGACATCAGATGATCATTTGTTTTGTCTCAAATGATTTCAAAATAGTCATCTCTTCTTGTTACAGCTTTGGCTAATACAGAATTTTAATTTCTGATTCTTCAACATCTTGTTCATTTTGTTCCAACTTTTCATTAATATATAGTTCCAATATAGTAATAGATAGTTCCAAAATATCGTTATCATTTTGATCTCCAATTCCTAAATCATTGTACACATTTATCAAAAAATGCCTCAGACCTTCACATCTTTCCATAACAATCCACCAGTTCGCATTCAATTTATTCATTAAGCTTGAATTTTTAAATCCAGCTTTTTTCAAACAATTAGAAATCGTTTTCCCTTTTTTTCAAACCAAGACTTCCTAGTAAAGCGCATAATTTTCCGTGGAATTTCTTTTTCCACTCATTTCAAAGTGTGTTTCACTATGAATTTACGTTAAAAAACTTTAAAATTTTGGATGTCTGAAATTTTTGATAACTTAGGAATGTCGTTATGAGCTGTGCAAATATTAACGAAAACAATTTTTCGTTTTGAAG